GTATGTATAAAATATACCACCAATAATATTTTAACATTTAGGATAGGTCAACTGTAAATTCTGGTCAGGAAAAAGCTATTTTTTATTCAATTTTACTATATAAAGTTAGTGATATTAACCTTATATGCATGTTACTACTACCATCGTTTTTGTGTTAGAGAATTAAAAAATATGATAGGTGCCAGAAATAACTGTAATATTTCTAGTTAAATCGACCGTTTTTCCTCTCAGTGTGTTTGTGTTTTGCTGTGGAACAATTTAGAAAAACGATGGTTATGAACGTGATTATGATAAATGGCAGAGTAATAAGAGAACGTAGACGATACGAAAGAATAAACACCGCATTATTATAATTAGCTTAAAGCCGTAATGTGAAATTATCTTCTCAAAGAGTATCGAGAACCGCGAAGACCTCCCGATGCATTGACCGCGAGTGACGATGCATCGGAGTGCATTATTAACGTCCAAGAAGATGGCCTTTCGGTCTCTACCCAGCTTTCAAGGTAATTAAATGAACAGTTGGGGCCGACGGACTGCCAATGAGAGAGCTTCAGCACGGCGCGAAGGAAGCATTGTACTTACAATTCGCGGTTGCACGTTTCCAATGATGGATTTGGGGCGTAAATTCAGCGGGAATTTAATAATGCGCGAACGGAATAGCATATATTGTGTTATGGGTAAGAGATAACGTCGCGTTAAAGGTTTTCGCGACGAGAGGATAAAGAATCACTCGAACAGCAGTTTCCTTCCGGCAATCGGAACTCAGCCGATGCGACATCGTCGCGGTAATGGTATTATATTTTCGCATGTCACGCACCTGAGACACACGTATAATGTACATGTATGTATTTGTACATTTTCGAGTGAAGGTGAAAACGCGGATCGATTTTTCAAGTCGACTTATAGTGTAAGATCACGCTAAGTAATCGAGTATAATCTATCATATACATTTCACACGAGATCGTATTTCTCGTTGAACAACACAGACATCTTGTTATCCTATTAAAGGTCCAGGAATAATTCAAATGTGCCGTGCAAGGAGACACGTGGATTTTTCGGGAAACGCAATTATTTCCAAGGGTGTTCGTGCATGAAGCGTATTCACACTCAGAGGAAAAGAAATGGTAATAGTAATCGTATAGGTGACAACTACGAGTTTTGCAGACGCAGAGAATCAATGTATATAGTTTAATAATTCTCTTATACATACATGGCCTCAAAAGGATTCTTTTAAAACTGAAAAGAAAATATCCTAACCACAGCATTTTTTAAATTTTAGAAGAGAAATATTTATTTTAAAGAATAAATTTTGTTCTTAATAAAAAGTTTCTTTAATAAGAGAGGATTCTATTTCATGCAAACATATTCCTCTTGATTTAAAAGAAGAAAACAGAATAATATCTAGTAGATTTTTGATTAAATAATTCACTTTAACAGAAGAGAGGTACTATTTCGGTAAGAATTTTCGCTTAGAATGTGGGATTACAAGAAATAGCATCTTGCAACTAGAGTTCTTTTTTTTCGGCGTTGAAATATTTTCCTTTTGAAGAAATCTTCTCGAGGTCATATGTAAGAGGATATTCACCAGAAATAAGATTATATATTTCTGAGTGATACATTTTTCTTTATGTGTTTTCTAATGCAACTACGTTTTACGAGCGCCGAGGTGAAATGAAAAATAGATGATGTCCAGGGCGAGACGTAGGAATATTGAGAGAGATAGAGAGCCAGAGGATGGAAGGGAGAAAGATAGGATGGATAGAAACGTTGTACGCGCTGATGGAACCCATCGCTCTCTTGCAAATCTGATTACGCTCCTCCACTAGCTTCCACCATAGTCATTCGCCGCTACTCTTTGACAGAACACATAGGTAGCGCGTGTCCATGTACGTTGCATGGCTCACCAGACCCCGATGAACCGCGACCATCTCGAAAATCGAATAGGGGTTTGTCCCAGCCATTGATTTCCGCCTCGTTTGCCGTCTCGGCCCGAAACGCCGAGGAAAATGCACGGGAAGAGGGAATTTCGAGTATTTACGAGCCATGCCTGTCCACCGGAAGCAGGTAGAATGAGAAAACAGCGCGAGGCTGTCGAAAATTAATCGAGTCGAGTGTAGCAGAAGAGACGTGCGTCACGAAGAGGAAAATTTTCCAGGATGCAAAAAGGAAGCAACTCTTGCAGCAGTCTATCAACGGATCTCTCGTTTCACAAGTAATTACTATGGCTAAAATTATACGGCTATAACTCGAGTAATGTTTTATTCGCGCAACGGATTTGTTCAAACATCTTCCAATAATTAAGGAGGTGCTGGACTCGACAATGAACTCGAAATGTCAATAACGTGAAGGCGATCGTCACTGACACGATCATACTATTCTTGTCGTATTTCTTGCAGTGCATATAGATGTAGATAAATATATACTGCTTTGTTTTACCATGCTAACAAAAAACACATACCACGTATATAGAGATATTTACCGACGGAGTACTGACCTTTCTTTGCAAAGTTTATGTTATATTGGCTGTACAGAATTACAAATGCTCTTATACAAATAAGCGTGGGAAAATGAATTGGAACATTGCTCAGTAAGCATTCATTTATTTTAACTGATACAAAAGATTTGTAGCTTGTGTATACTGAACGTGAATTTGTTTCGCCAAAAAGAATCTCAAAGAACATTGCTGTATCTTTACGTCTGAATTTAAAATATCAGGAAAGTTTGCGGAAAGATGTTTGTGTGGCTAGACGTTTTCTGCTAAATATAGTAAAACAAAACAACACACGCATTTACGAAATATCTATATGTATATGCAAGAAATATAGCAAGAAAGGATAGCGTGATGAGTGACAATGGTTTTTACGTTCACGTCGACATTTTAGAGTTCGTCATGAACTTCACGGTATTCCCTCGAATCATCTAATTCATCTGCGAAGAAGTTGGTTTACGTTTTTGCCGCGATGATCGATACAAATTCCGACATCAATTTGTCATATATAACGACGAACATAATTGCGACGTTAATTCGGTCCAGTTAACCAATTAACGCCCAAATATGCTGAAATTTTATGTTAATTTGAGCCATTTATTTTACTACAGAAATGAGGTCTGTTGTTTATAAAGAGTACCATTTCTACCAATTTCGATGTCACTCTATCGAATAGGGTTGAGAAAATTTAAAAAAATCGCAATTTATGCAATATTTTTGCAAAATAAAATTTAAAAAACGCATGTTTTTAGGACTAATTTTTTCTTTTTCCGCTATTTTCCCCATAAAAACGTGTTAGTATTGCTCGGGAAAGTGTCTAAAACGTGTGCCCAACACTTTAATTAAAAAAATATGACATGGGTATTTTTTTCAACAAACATGGCGGTATTTGAAGCATTTAATTCGAATTTTTGTTTATATTTAGTTATCAAAATTGTTTTACTATGTAATTACTATGAAAGTTTTAGACACTTTCCCGAATGATACTAACACGTTTTTATGGAGAAAATAGCGGAAAAAGAAAAAATTAGCCTTAAAAACATGTTTTTTATTTTATTTTGCAAAAATTTTGCAAAAATTGCGATTTTTTTTTTAATTTTCTCAAAGCTATTCGATAGAGTGACATCAAAATTGAGCGACATCGAGGAATGGTACTCTTTATAAACAACAGATCTCATTAATAAAATAAATGGCTCAAATCAACGCAAAATTTTAGCACATTTGGGCGTTAATGGGTTAATGCAAAAATTGATACGTGGTTTATTTTAAGAACCTCGGGACGAGATACACGATGTCTTTCGATGACAATCGTTTCTCCGTGGAATCGGTTACTTGGGCGCAACTTAACCTAATAGTTTATTACAATATTATTCCACTTTTCTGCAATTGATAATTAACTTAATTAGCCATTTGTTTACGATCGCGAGCGCGTGTAACTGATATCTAACGTAGAGTATATTTCTGTAAATATTTAGACGCGCTACATACGTGGCGTACATGTGCAAAATTTACCGATTGATTAACAGTGTACATTTGCCGAGGTCCAGAGCTCTAAACAGCGATCGAAGCTTTGTACAGCGGCGATATCGTCGCAACACGGGGACTTACTCCCGGGGCTACGAGCAGATTTTCTTTTTCCCAGAGCTAGCTCTGCAGTTATAGCGGGCGGTTCCTCGGGGACTTTCCTTTCACCTTTCCAGCAACGTTCGTCCGCAGCTTGTGCATAGAGGCAGGATACCAAGCGCCATTAGAAAAAGAAAGAAGAAAAAGAGGAACCTTTTCACGTGAACCCATTCCTGTTTCAGAATCCATCCTTCTCCTTCTCCCCTACGCTTCTCTATTCCAGCAGTTATCTGCCTTCTCTCAAACAATTTCCTTCCCTCTTTAACTCGGTTCTTATCTCCGGATAACGGCGGAAGCAGGAAAACTCGTGGGAGGCAGTCGGGAGGGCTGGCGGTGGATCTCGAGAACGCGGCAGTCTCGGAATTCCGCACGCTCTTCAGCCATATTAAACTCGCTTAACGGGTGACCTAGTAACCCGCAAGATCGCAGAGCTGCTCTTGGAAAAACACATTTTTGAGAATGGATCGATGTGGCTGTCACGTATTGTTTGATACGCGAACGATCCGGCAGATTCTGTGATTGATGGCATGAGCGAACGGCGAGGGAATAGCGGCGTGTAACGTTTGGAATCTTTTGATAACGATTTTTTAACATTGTATACAGACTGCTAATCTAAAGATCCACTTACAGTAGGATTGGCAGCAAACTGACAAACCACCATTATTATAAGAATAATCGATATAAATATGGTTGGGCAATTTGCTTACTGCTTATCTTTTACTGCCTACTACCAATCCCATTGTAGGTGACCTTTAAGAAGTAACCTCCAGTACAGTTTAGCCGCAAACGTTTGCGACACATCGCCGTATCTGCCTGGATAAATTTTCCGTCGATTTGTCTTAACTGCATGAAGAGAATATTAGCTTTCTTTCAAATAAATTTTTTTACGTAATTTTTAAGTAATTTTTTAAGTAATTTTACTATGTTTCTAGAAATGTAGAAATAGAATAGTCGATAGGGTCTAAATATTAAAAATATAGCAAATTTTTTAATAATATATTTTAGTTTGTGACAACTAGCATACACTGAGATATATTTACACGGTGGATATCAATAATACATTTCATCAAGTCTGAATTTTTGTATTTAGATATAATAAGCAAAATCCAGGTAGCACACACACGTTTTAGAAATGTTTTATAAACGTTTTAGAACTACCTTCTGTATAAAAAGTACCGGGAAATTGTCATTTAAATGAACCGCGGAAGAGGTAGCGGTAAAAAGTTTTTTTTTTTTAGATTGGCACTACCTTCCTTCATTACCAACCGGAGCTTGAGCTCGATCAGTCAACTAGTTTGTTTATGGCAGCTGTTCAAACAAGTCTACCTCAGTGTTGCTCTGCGAATTTTACCATGGAAAAAATAGTCGAACAAAGAGTGTGCCTCAAATTTTGTGTTGCAAACGAAATTTCGTGTGCCGACGCACTGAAAATGTTGAAAAAAGCCTATGGTGACTCAACCATGTCGAAAACTCGGGCGTACGAGTGGTTTAGTGCGTTCAAAGAGGGGCGTGAAGTGCTCGAAGATTTGCCTCGCTCCGGCCGGCCATCCACGTCTACCACCGACGATAACATTGGAAAAATAAAACATTTAGTGCTGCAAAATCGTCGTTTCAGTGTGAGAGAGCTGGCCCGTGAAGTGAACATTGATAAAATGACCGTTCATGGCATTATAACCAATATTTTGGGCATGAAACGTGTCGCCGCTCGACTGGTCCCGAAAGACCTGAATTTGTTTCAAAAACATTATCGTAAACAGGTGGCCGAAGATATGATTTCGCGTGGCCCAGACTTCTTGAATCGCAT